CGACTGCACCATTCTTCAGCTTGAGTAATACTAATTCGTACTCAGATTATTTGGGTTTTTGGCCATTCATTATACTATTTTGGCACAGTTAATTACGATGCCTCGAAAAGCCTGTTGTGGCCTTGTCTGTCATTGTGCTTCTTTAAAACGTCTTTTGGCTCCGAAGACGTTCGAATATGCCAACGTCTCTGCATCATTAGCGTATCTTTGGCTAATAGTTTTACACCACCAGCTGTCAAAATAACGTATTAATCAGTGTACCGCAACGATTCTCCTCTCATAAAAGCGGTAATATATTCTCGCACCGCAGAAGTGTTTCATTAATTTCCTTCCAAAGTTGGACGGAAAAAATAATGCATTTATTTTCAGTGGGTATGTTTAAACTTGTTCGTTCGAATATGTTTCTCTGCAGCTTCAAGCAGTGATTTTTGCGATAATCGTCTTTTAATTTGGTCTGCTTTGGGGCTACAGCCAAAAATTGACTCACTTCTTCTGTTCAGGTTTTGGGTTTTGTTGAAACTATCGCTGTGAAACTGTTCTCTAATTAAGGTGGACAACAACTAAAAAATCGTTTAGATATATTCTTAGTCAATTACTTTGGAATTCCTTTGGCCATATGTGTTTCAGTTCAGGTCACGAAAAAAACTAGTAAATTGTAACACAATATATCGGTGGTAAGCCACAAACTAATTAGCTGCTAATTAGGCTTGTCAGAAATGCAAGAAGAGCCAAAAAAGCCCACAACATCCTTTTCAGATGGGTTGTAACTTAATTGCTGGCTTCCTTTCTTTCTCGTTTTTTGCGTGCTGGTTTCTGGGCGAATCTTTGCCAAACGTTTCAAATTATGCTTAACGATGCGGCCCTTGCAAAGGTTTGATGGATTGATTAGCACATGCTTAAGTCGAAGAACGTGCTTCCTGATAAAGCTTAAATGGCAGTCGCAGTGTTCTTGATTACGAAACGTTATCAAACCGGCTGGGTAATTTTACCCCAATATTTCTTCCCTCCGACCACGCATGCATAATTGAATCGAATCCTTCCAAGATAAACGAGAATAAAACAAGGGCCGCTAAATAAACCATTACTCCCGCAAGTCCCTTCATAATTTTTGATGTGCGCCCGAGCTGAGTGTTGTGTTATACGAACCTAAACGTTTTGTAAAACGAAAGGAAATGGCATCGTTATCACCAACACGCTGTTCTGAAACACTGACTGGGACTATTTGAAAATAGTTTGTGTAATTTCCGTTCTCAGGCCACTTGTTATAACGTAATAATATAGAAGCAGATAAAGCTCCCCCTCTTTGCGAGTGAATGCGCCACCCCCCGTCTTGGTATGGCGTTTTAAATGCTGATGAGGCTCCGTATTCGGAAAATGGGGATAAGGGTTGATTTATTTAGTATTTAGCTCAACATTGGATCGTTTCAATGGCCACTTTGGATTGCGTTTTTTCTACAGGGTGGCAGCGATAGGCTGCCATTTGGTGTGAAGGTTTCACTTGTTCTTCTACTGATTGTGGTTTGCGTTGTTGTCTTTGGGGTCTATCTGTTCTGAAGAAGTTCTAGGAATGGGTGAAACGCAAATGACCGTTTTTAGGTACCTATCTGTTTGGGAGGTTGGCAATTATGACGTTGAGGGTAGCAGCTCGAAATAGTTGTGCAGTGGCGGGCCTTCGACTTTCGTCTCGCGTACTGTATAATATTTTCCTTGATCCTCGGTGGAAACTAGCCCGGAAAAGTTTTTGAAAAAAAAAATGTAATGGGTAATAGTGATGCTTTCGCCATCGAAAACAGTGGCGAAAGTAGGTACTTTCCAACAGAGGATCAAGAAAATATGCATTCATAAAGCGTTTGGGTCAATAATAAGGAAGAAATCGTCGGATAAAGATCGTGAACGTTCAAAATTTGCGGAAAATGTTTATTATTTCGGATCTGAACGTTCTATCATGTTTTTCGATGTGTTCGATGCATTCCTCGCGTCCGTGAGCGGGCAATGATGTAAAATTGAAGACATTTTAAGAAATTGATTCGACGTAAGAAGCTCACAAACATGCATTTATAAACTGTTTGGGTCAATAATAGAGAAGAAATCGTCGGCTAAAGATCGCGAAAGCTCAAAAAGTCCTTAAATGTGCCGAAAATGTCTATTACTTCGGATCCGAAGCTTCCGCCATATTTTTTAGTGAGCCCGATGCATTCGTCGCGTCTGTGAGTTGAAAATAATGTAAAATTTAAGACATTTTGAGAAAATTTTAATTTTTTTTAAAATCGACTTCCACTTTTGCAAAAATTTCGGCCGAAAATCAAAATTTCACATGTGTGTTTTTTGAGCTCAAACGGTTCCTTTCGACGTAAGAAGTTCAGAAATGTGCTTGATAAAGGGTTTGGATCAAAAATGAGGAAGAAATCGTCGGCTAAAGA